CGCCACCACCGCCGCCGCCGCCGCCGCCACCGCCGCCGCCGCCGCCGCCACCACCACCCTGCACCAGCATGGGTACTTTCACCTGTAACTGTAAGGGAGTGGGTAAGGGGCTGCAGATGCAGCCGAGTGGCAAAGCACTTGTCTGCTGTGTACAGAGTTCTGGGTTCAAGCCTCCTAACTGGAAACAAATTGGGAACTGTTGGGGTGAAACACAGGTCTAGACACTCAAGGACAGGAAGCGCAGCCCTGTTCTAAGAGGAACAGGAAATGAAACTACAAACTCACTGGAATTGGAAATTTATCCCAAACCTTCCATGTCCCCTCAGCAAAGCCACGCTCTTTTATCTCAGCCTCTTTGCACATCTGTTTGGGTTTGGGGTGACAGTATGGCCTTCTTTGTTTCTCCCTACATATGATACAAGATGGCTACCTTACAGTTTCTGAGTTTCTCACCCTCCCTCAGTTATAAAGATTGACAGCATCAATTCCAAGTCCACACGCTTGTGAGAGACACTTGGATTGGTACACAATGGGCCAGGTATACGTCAGCCCAGCATACGACGGGAGGAGTACCACTCAACACCTTTTCTTCTGTGACTTTCCCATTACGTTAACCAAGGACAGCCTGTAAGAAGTTTCATTGTGAATTATAGGGACCATTCAGACAATGATGACCAGAAAGGAAAAATCTCTGGGAGACGCGTGAATGTCTGTCTCTTGGCCTCTTGTTAAGAAGTATGGCTTCACTGCAGATTTATTCCTTAGTCCAGGGCACACCACTGATAAAGAAGGGCCAGTCACATAATGTGCAGAGCCCAGATCAAACGGAAATGCTGGGCCCCTTATTCAACATCTGTCGAGAATTCAAAATGGACTGTCTGAGAATGGGGCCCTTCTCGGGCCAGAGCCCACAGGACCAAAGGAACCACGTTTTTGGAACTTACGCTGCCTGACAGAGAGACCCCCATGAAGTGGGGGGAGAGTCACCCAAGCACTCCCAGCAGCCTCTTGGATAATCAAGTAATGCTGTTTTACCATTTAAATGTGCTAATGGTTGGCTCATTATGACTGAGCCCCAGTGCAAATAGACAGCAAGTAGACTTTGGCAAAGATCCTCTCCACCCTCACCATATTTTTTTATTTGGAACACATCCCCTCTCCCACCATTTAGCAAATAGCAGGCACTTGGGACACAGAAACTTCCAGAGCAGATATGGTAATAAAGTGTTGATGAACAGGCTGCTGAATTCCACATTCCCTCCTTTGATAGCCACCCATTTAGAATGCACTAGATTTGGGGTGGTAATTGAATTATAAAGCTGTTAGATCCTTGCAGTCAAGGCAATCCTCCCGAGAATGGACTTATGTCACTAACCCTGATGTAGCTCCTGGGAGTCCTCCTGAACCCCAGCCAGAGAGCCAAATCAGCTTCATTTTCCAGGGACCATAAGGTCTTTTGCCATGACAGATACGCTGTTTCTCTTCCATCAGGTATGTGCTAATTCTCGGAGGGTGGGGTGGGGGGTGCATTTCCTACCTTTTTACTTTAAATGTAATTGAATCAGTCCTGGCAGGAACATCTGGCCTCGGCCATGTGGAGGTTTGGGTTTTTTCTTTTTCTTTTTCTTTTTTGCCCCAAGTGCATGTCTTGCTCTAGGGTCAACAAAATAATCAAAACCTAGCCCCCAGGGAGGAAATTTTATGGTTCTCATTTATTTGATCCCCAATCTACTAAACTCCATGCCATAGTCAATCAACTGTAAAATCAAGAAAGGATGCACAGCTAGTTTGAACAGAAAAGACAAACTCCATGGGCACCTGGACTGGTGAAGTTAGAAACAGATTGATGGAGCCCGAGTTGGAGGCCGATCGGGCTTCAGTGGAAAATGCCTAGGAGTAGAGAGTGCACTCATTTATTATTTCCACAAACAGAAACCTTCTTTTGAAATGCTGAGCCGAACCCTAGTTAACCGGCCTTCCAGCCCAGGCAATGGTCCAGATTGACAGGCTCAGACTGGCAGAAAGGGACAGCGGGGAGGTAATGAAGGGACAGCACTTTAGAAGCCGCAGGCCGAGGCTCGCAGAGGGCGAGTTCTGTTCAGAGGTACCAACCACTGCCCCGTGGCCGCCCTGGGCCAGCTCTTCAGTGACCCGCCCCTCTCTGCCCTCACATCACTGGGCCGACCCATCCATTGATCTCTAATGCTTGCCTTGCTTAATGTAATTGGAATGTCAGAGAATAAAATGTGGTTAGCTGCCCGTTATTCTCTCTCTCATAAAACCCACCCTTGGACAGAGAGACCGGCCTTTGATGGGGACTGTCACAGGGCTTCCAAAGAACACTTATTTCTACATATTCACGGGAGCCATTTGAAGCATTGGGGACTCCAAGCAGAGCGGGATTTAAATGAGAGATAAAAGGGCCACCAAGGTCTCGGACATCCACATGACTGATGACTATGTGCCTTTTCTTCCCCCTGCCCATGTAAGCTTTCTACCCGAGGGTCCAGAGGTCCTTCCTTGCCCACCACCGGCACTTGTCTCATGGTACCTTTGGAAAGAGGGATTTTCTGCCCATGGTCTGGCTGGGGACACCATATTCCTGTAAACAACCAGGGACCAGCTCAGTGATGAGTTTATAGACTCATGAAATGAATCCATGAGCTTCCAAGGGGAAATACACGTAACAATAAGACGCAAGACAAAGGAGCAGGTGCCATGTGGGGGTTCTAGATTCCATCTCTGGGAGGTGCGGAAATACACCTCCGGTTGACTGATCTTCAATGTACACTTAAGCCGTGAAACAAAGCCCATGTTGGAGTTCTGGGAGCCAGGGACCGGGCAAAAAAATTTCAAGGCAGGTGGGAACATGAAGAGAGAGATGACAAGAACTTAGAACTGGTCAAAACAGGACCAAGCAGTCAAAGGTCCTCCCTTAGCAACCGGACTTCCTGCCTGCTTTCAAGTAGACCATGCTGAAAACATGGCACGGACATAAGAGCTACTGCTTGATGGAGAGCCCCAGTGGGGACTCCAGAGGCACAGCTGTCCCCGCTCGCCCCTAGCTAGCCGTCCACCGGGAGATCTGTAAGTGGAGGACATTTAGACTCAAGAACAACCGGGCCCTGAACACAGTGGAAGACTTTGGCCATTGAGACGGGCAGGGACCAAATTTAAAAGCAGGTCAAATTCAAGCTCACTTCGGCTCAGCCACGGGCTTTGTATGTATACTCAGAGCTATGTACTAGCAGACAATCCATGGACACCCCAAATTCATCTTTCTCTGCTTCTTGTGAAGAGTAATCTGAGCATGCAAGAGTTTTTCAGTTTAGTTGAAGGTTTTTCTGTGAATTGCCAAACACAGAGTAGGTTACTCCATGGTAACATGCTTGCTCCGTGGTTACGTACTTACTCCATGGTAGAGTACATGTCCAAATGACTCCTCCAATCACCTCCTGAAACACAGTATTGAGGCAACTGATGTAAAAGAAAGCAGATAGAGGGAGAGGAACTCATCAGATAGTGCACGTCTGCAGAATGGAAGAAACCCTCAAATGCTGAAGCATGGGGGAGATTTAAGGACCCGGCGGGAAGGGCGCCATGGAAAGAACTTGCAGACACCAAATTTTCATTATCTTCTACACCAGTCTCCTACCTGATCCGGGAAGGCCCTTGAGGATGCAAAACAGAATTCTCACAGTTCAGGAGGAGAGTCTGGGGGAGTATTCTGGGCTGTCAGGAGACAATCCAATAATGAGCACCAAGTCTTCAATAAAGACAAACAGAATAAAAGGGCTGTGTTAAAATTACCGCAGCCTTGCATAATAGCTGCCTGCAAAGATACCACAGAAATGGTAATGAGCGCAACAATGGTCTGAACTTGGAGTGTTTTTATTTAAAAGATTCTAATTAACCAGAAAATGAGCATTAATCTTGGCAACTTGGAAAATAACAACATGCCATCCTATTGCTACCAGCCAAAAAGGTAAAAAAGAGAACAAGAAAATCTTGTCTCGGGGAAACAAGCCCTTTGAAACACTGACAATCCGAAGCACCAACTGCAATGTGCGTCGAGGCGCAGGCTTGCGTCTAGATGGTCCGTTTACGGTGGCTTCCTCCACTCCATCCCCGCCTTCCCGAAAAGCACAGCTCCAGTCAGCGGTGCCTGCTTTTGCAAGTTAGGTACATCAGTGAATGTTGAGTTATTCAGAATTTAGATGCTAGCAGGGGAGCGCTTTTTGTCCCCAGGATCTTCAACACTTGGGAAATCCGGCAGGCTCCCTCACCAGCTGCAGCCTGCCTCTAGTACAGTGGGCAAGTTAGATGCCGAAGGGCACTTGACTGGCGTGTTTTAAGAATCCAGCAAAGGATGTGCCGGCACACCGAGGCCCCTGTCGTCGCTCTGTCCAAGTGTAGAGGCTCTTGGTAGATGTGTGTCTCACTAAGCATGTGGGAAGTGAGCACAGCCCCTGCTGAAAGTGTATTTAATGTAGCTTACCCACTGAACTCCGCAAACCAGCTCCTGAAAGATGGTACCGACTAGAGGCTAGCTGAGAGACACTGCCAGCTGTCACCACCCAGAGTCATGCCATCCCAGCACTGAGGAGGCTGAGGAAAGAAGAGTATTTAGTTTGAGGCCCCAGGAGCTACACAGTCAGAATGTCTCAAAAACAAAACATTCTAAGTACCGTTGCTACTGGATATCTTATTGTTTTTTGTGCTGATGTAATTTTGAAAATTCCTGAATGAACCATTGTGAGTTAGGGACTATCTTCAATTGTTATTTTATCCACTACATAGGTTACTTGCTTTTCAATGGATTAGGAACAGGATGTCTTCTATAAATAGTGGAAACAGACTTCAAGATATCAACTGGCCATCTTAGTTAGCCATCTAGCATTGGAAAGCAAACTTTCAAACAAATAACCAAACCAAACCTCCAACATGCTCCCACAGTCTCCCATAGTCTCTGTATTCAAAATGAGGATGCCTAAAATTTCAAAGCTCATCCCTCACAATTAATTACTGGACAGCGAAGCTTAGAATCATGAAGGCTGAACTCAAATGCATACACCCCTTTGCTTCCCAGCCCATGCCTTGTCCTCAGTGCCTCTCCTTGTGATTCCCCAAGATCCTCAAGCTGGACATCCTAAAGTTATCCATTGCTGTATAATGATGAGTGAGCAATGAACAACATTATTCACCCCAGGAAGGGCAAAGACGATTCTTCACAAGCCTGGTTATTGCAGTTACTTACAGGAGCATGGGTGACTAAAAGGCAGATGTACTTTTAGAAGCCCACCCCCATACAGGTGGCACCCTGTTGGGGCCGCAAGACTGGTGCTGTGGGCAGCTCCACCGAAGAGTCTTCTCTGCCCTAGCAACTGTCACCGCTTACATAGCCTAGGTGAGGGGCTTTGCAAGTCTGGCAACTCTCTTGTCAGTGTTTGAGGGTCTGTCTTCCCTCTACAACAGTGGTTCTCAACCTTCCTGACACTGCGACCCTTTAATACAGTTCCTCATGTCGGTGCTGACCCCCAACCATAGCATTATTTCGTTGCTACTTCGTAACTGTAATTTTGCTACTGATATGAATCGTAATGTAAATATGTGTTATGCAGGATGTCTTGGTTAGGGTTTTTATTGCTGTGAAGAGACACCATGACCACAGCAACTCTTAGAAAGGAAAACATTTAACTGGGGTGGCTTACAGTTTAGAGGTTTAGTCCATTATTGTCATGGCAGGGAGCAAGGCATAGAAGCAGATGTGGTGCTCAAGGCGAGAGTCCTTACACCTTGATCCAAAGGCAACAAAAACTAAAACACTGGGCATGGCTTGAGCATAAATGAGACCTCAAAGCCCACCTCCACAGTGACGCACTTCCTCCAACAAGGCCACACCCACTCCAACAAGGCCACACCCACTCCAACAA